GAATAGGTACATATATACTTTTAAATATTCTCATTACCCTGCGTCTAGGTTTTACAACCAATGTTTATTTTTGAAATTTTGACGCGACGTTGCGTTATTCCAACTCCATTGTTTGGCAAAGCAAGGTTTAAAAAAAATCACAATGTAATCTTATGTTTAAGAGTTACGTTGCAATATTTTATGCAGAGATAAACAAATATACGCGCTTTATTATGGCATTTATTAGATACGATTTTAGTATGCGGAGTCTTTATAAAACATATCTAAAACTTCATAATATTCAAATATCGATATCTAGATTTTTTCAAATAAAATACCTGTATTTATTATCGTATCTGACACTATATTTTGTTCTTTCCTTCGATGTGTCAGTGTGTCTTTTAAAAAGTAAAAAGTCGCAAAAATATCATCAGTTAATACAGAAAATATTTTAGAAAACAGAAACAGAATAATAATATGCAGTAATAAAATACGGGGTGTCCTGAGGAAACTCAAATATAAATATTTAAAGATCTAATAATTAAAAAATGTTTTACAAATACTCTATATAAGAAGATGTAATTTTACTATATACCACAACAAAGAGCGTACCTTTTTTATGTCTCCACAAAATATTTAATCGCAGATTTTAGAAAGAACCCTATTGCGTTTTTCTCACCGCTAAAAAATTTCAAGAAAACTGAAATAACGTGCCAACGTCGCAATGGAATTTTAAATAGAAATTGTGGATATAAAGTCTAAAGAGAGATAAATTAAAATATCTAAAAATATATAGGATGCACCATTTGAAAATACTAATTTTTCTGTTGCACCTGAAAAATAGAACACTCTGTGTAGGTGAAAGTAATTTGCGTGTATGGTCCTCAAAAAACCGTACAACTTCCCTGTAGCTTCTGATAAGTGATAACTAATGAGCAGAGTCCGAAATTTATGAGATTTGCATATTGATGACTGTTCATACTACACCTAAATGCTTTCGGATCTAGGCCAATTAGGTAAATAGGAATTGATTGACACATATTAAATTTTGCATATTTTGCATGTATCAATATTTTTCACATATTTTCGTATCTTTTGCATATTTTCACATATTCTGCCAATTTTTAGATTTTCGAAGCATACCGCAAATTTTTTATTGCAAGTGTCGGCGCTTTTAACTTCTAAAGGTCGAAATCTATATACATGACAATGTCTTTGGTTAAATCTCGAAAATTGTCAAAAACAATCGAAAATTTCAAAATGGGGTGTATTGAAAAATTGAGTTATTAAAAAAGTTGCTTAAAAAATCCCAAACAATTCTCAGATATACATATATTTTAAAAGGAACTAGCCCCGCCCACCCACCCTCTTTTTTATTAGAGGGCATGTCATTTGCCAAAATCGGTCTTATTTTAGCAGGTACTAGCCCCGCTCACCCGCCCTCTCTGTTCTTAGAGGTATCTCATCTGCCAAAATCAGTTTTATCTTAGCAGGTACTAGCCCCGACGGCCCACCCTCTCTTTTTTAGAGGCTATGTCATTTGCTATAATCGATATTATTTTAACCCGCCCACCTACCTTCTATTTTATTAGAAGGATCACGTTTGTCAAAATCAGTCTTATCTTAGCAACTACTAAGTTTAACTTTTTCTTACAGAGTTCTAACTTAGCATTAAAAAAGTAAAGGGAAATATAGGACAACTTATAAATAAAAATTTTAAGGAAGTACTAGAAAAGAATCAATTTTGTTATCAAAGGTAGCTAAAATATATAATGGAGGTTCTAGTAGTGAGGTTAACAGCACGAAATTTAATTAGCGCTCTTGTTTGCACCCATTACATCAGTGGATGTAGAGAGGAGTTTCTCCACCTATAAACAAATTTTGTGTGATAGGCGACTTAATTTTTTAATTGAAAACATTGAAAAACATATAGTTGCAAGTTATAAGTTATAATATTAATGCCGACATTTAAGTGTTTTTTGATGTATCATTGTACTCGTTTTTTTTTACAAATATTTGTTATTTAGTCGCGTTTTTTTTTGTAAAATAAAGTTTTTAAAATATGGCACAATATTGTTTTAAATTAAACCTATTAGACTTATGGATACACTACCAGTTTATTGTATGGTCAATAAAAAAAAAGTACAAAATGTATGCCTATTTTTATAAAAAAATTTCATATTTTCGTAAAATTAAAACATATTTTCTTATTTTTTCTGCACATATATACCTACACATATTTTGGCCAAATTTCGTGCATAAAATTCCGGACTCTACTAATGAGGTATCAAGGAGCGCAAGCTTAGTCACTTCCTCTGTAGAAACTTATATGTATGTACATTTTCAAACCTAAGATTTCAAAGTATTCGGCTTTGCAGTTTCTGATTTAATATATCTAATATTTATTTTTTTGTATTTATTTTATTAATAACAAAATTTTGAGGAGATGGTGTGAACGTTCTTGATTTGGCCAGTAAAATATATAAATTGCTTCATTCGTTAATTTTTTCGAGTAACGACGGGCCTTCGCTAATAAGTTATTATGCCATTGGCACGACGTTCACAAGTTACAAAGTTATGCGTCCGTCTTTTATAAGTACAATGTTCAGAATTTACAAAGCACGGTGTTTCTTTTCACATTTAGTTAAAATAAATGAATACTGAATAGAAAATCGTACATCATTTTAAAGTACAACGTTCGTCCACACTGCTAATGTATCATAATCTTTTATGGTATATGGTAAAAAATCCTAACGTTTGTGTAAAGTTACCTAGACAAACTTTCCCTTAGTTAAAAAGAAATAGGTATCGACTGTTAAAATACATGGAAAGGGGTATGCTATGCGTATCAATAAAATACATTGCCTAATTCATAATTTTTTTTGAGTTACCCTGTATAAGTAATCCTAAAAAATATTTATACATTTATAATATGATAAAATTATATCGTATTTATAATATGATAAAATTTTAAGATGATGTCCTCATTCGTTTTGTTGGGGATATACGGATAAATTATGATTAACGTGCTCGTGACACCCTTAAAAAGTTTGCAAGATTTCAAACCATTGGGTTTTGCAGTTTCAAAGTTAGTTTGCAAAATGTTACTAAATTTTGATTTTTTTAAATCTTTATGAATAGGCTGAAAACCTAACAGGGATTCATAAACCACAAGTGGATTTTATAAAATCTAACTTTCAGTATTGTAAATTTTGGAGATGACGTTATCGCATTGGTGGTGGAAATGGAGAGGCAAATTTTGGTTGACGTTTTACTATCGAGAATTTACATGCTATTCCTAATATACATACAAAATTTGACAGCAATCGGTCGAGTAGTTTCAGAGATTATCTGTGGAAAAAAAACGACATAAACGACAGATGGAAACGGGAGATCATTTTTATCGGGTTCTATGGATCATGAAACGTCGAGAAAACATGAAAGTGGCAATTCGTCCAATGGATCCTCTTACAATACTTCCTTAGCTTACACCCGAGAAGTAGAAATCAAAGCTGATTCATAAACCTGAGCACATATAGAAATGTGATACTTTTCAAAATTTAAATAATATTTAATTTGTAAAATTTTGAGATAACTAGACAAATTTTTCTAGTCATCTACACAAAATTCCAAAAATACATATAAAAGTTCATATCAAAATTTATTTAAATCAGTCCAGTAGTTTCGCAGATTATTTGTCATATATATATATCGACATAACTAGAGACGGACAGACAAATTTTATAAATAACCTGCTTCTAAATTTGCGGTTTATGAACCAGTCTTGATTTTTTATCCTTAACGTCTAGATTTTTGGGAAAAAATTAAAATTTTCTCACAATTTACAACTTATTCATGAAACTGCAAAACACGAATTCTCAGAAATCTTGCAAATGTTTCAAAGGTATCGTAAGTAAAATTGATGAGGTCATCGTCATTGCCGAATAAATCATAACTATCTAAAATATGCAAAACATTATGAGTCTATAATTGCAGTTTATCAATGCGTTTATATTTATTAGAATAGAGGTCACATGGCTAGATTTTGTGATGAAAAACTCCTTTGAAACATACGCATAACATGCGGATTTACTAGCACTTGAACACTCTATACAAATGATTATTTTAATTTGTAGGGCGTCATCATAAGAAAATCATTTATTTTTTAAATTTTTCGAGAAGGCAGATAGGTTGGATTGTGCTTTAGGGGCCCGGGAAGTTCGGTCTAACGCCTTGTGTGCAGATTTTTGTGCACCATTTTTTTTATTATTCAGGATTAACCAAAGTCTCGGAATTGATAACGTGTATTAAAACTGATTAGAATATGAAGTTAATTCTTCAATATTGAAGTTTAGTATTGCTAAAATTTGTTCTTCAGTGGATTTCCAATGTAGTACAAAATAAAGAATTTATTAATGATATCTTGAATATTTTTCTCTACTTCGTTTTTTAAAAATTATTAATTTTGGATTATTTCCCGGTAAACCGGAAGTGCAAAAAAATTGAAATGTCATAAATAAGTGTTTTACACTGTATCATGTACAAGATGTCTCAAACGAAACTACGTGCCTTACATCTTTTCTTGACAACAAATATAAATAAATTCTGTGACCGCTGTTGTTTTTAACTTGAAATGGGAAGCTTAATTTACTACACAAATCCCTATTTTTTTAAATTGCACGGTATATAATATTTTTTTACGGATTTTAATATACAGTAAAGTAGGGATTGCAGTGATGTAAAACACATATATGTGTTGTATTAGTTCCGATCATATGCGTAAATAAATCTTTTTCAAAACAGTTTGAAACAAAGTACTACTTTATTTCATTCGTCTTGGATTTTTTCATATTTAGAAATATTTTTTTATCGATTAGAAATAAAATAATATATTTATATTATTGGATTCGCAATTGAATCATCTGTTAAAATGCTTTCAAAAATATATACCTTGCAATTTAAAAAAATAGAGATTTGCGTCACCCGCCAAAACCAATTATGTATGTGGTCTTATTTGTAGTGTACTGAATTAAAGTTTCAAACTAAAAACAATAGCGTTTACGAAATTTCAATTTCTATCCGTTCTGAGGACATGAGGCCTTGGATTTTATTTGGGACACCTCAGAGCACACATACTAAAAAAAGTTGATACGAAAAAGATAACGGCGTTCCGGAAATTTTGACCAATCGTATATAGGTATGCCTTACTTCCTTTAAAAATTAAAAGCCAACGATGACACAGCAATTTTATTATGTTACACAATACTCGGGCGTTGGCATGAATGTATTTGCCTTATCATATTTATTTGAATTTCCTTATTCAGCAAACAATGCAACAAAATTACTGCGTTGCAAGAGAAACGAGACATGTCGAAAATTAAGATATTGAAACGCGATAGTTACGAGTATAATAGTTTGTAAAAATTTACTTTTGTCCTAAAATGTTTTAGGAGGCGAGAGTGCAGTTACGAACACCGACGCTCGTGAAATGTTTATCAAATGGGTAACCTTTATTTTAAACAATACATTTTTCTGCAGTGTTTCTATTTAAAATATTGCGTAACACTTCCAGCTGTCCAGCTGTGTTGCTACTATCAGGCAAAACACCGCGGGAGGAATAACAAAAAATGCGATAGTGCGAAGGAGTGCGAACGAAGTCGATTTAGCGGGTGCCGCACCGACAATAATTTGCGATTGATGTCATTGGCAAATTAATTTGCGTTAAATTGAGTCGTATTAAGTACAGTAGTGCAGTAAACTTTTTCAACTTCTTATGTGTTGTGTGTGCAACATGAATACGGAACAGGCACGTGTTATGTTGATTGGAAAAACGAAAATTATTCAAGAACAAAAAGAGCATTCAGGATTTCTTCGCATTGAACTACCAGGAGCATCGGCGAGGACTGAAGAAAATGTTGGCATCAGAGGAGGCCAAGACCAGGTAAATTTATTTTTAATGTTTGCACGTAACAGTATGATCCAAAGTTTTCATCTAATTGTAAAAGGGAGGCTGTAAGTGGCGCATGTAGGATATGACAGAGGCAGAAAGCCAATGTTTATTGGAAACGCTTATTAATCACAGCCTCCCTTTATGTAAAGACATTTAGGTAAGACGGTACTTTCATGGAACTTGTGGCAGAGTGGACGGTGAATTCACATTCCAATTATTTTACATCGATAGATGCATTTCTGTTAATTTAAACAGCATCTATTTTAAAGTTCGCAAAATAAATTCAGTAAAAAGCAAATTCACTAAAAGTTGCCAGTTCCTAATTTATCTTGTAAAGAAATCTTTCATTCTTTGAAAATTACATTTAACACGGCAAAAAGCAATTCGTTACATGGTTTGTTATATAAATTATAAAATTTTGTTCAACAATTTCCACATTTTTTTTACTTCGCATGCGTAAATTTAAAAAAATAGTGAAAAGTTATTTAGACAGAACTTTCCTGACCTATTATTATGAAATAGGATTCTGCGAATTTTATTTTTTCATGACAACGCCTATAAGTAAAAAAAATGTATGCACTGTTGAAATTGCAAATAAGGAAGGTTACTTGGTGTATGTTTCAAGTGAGTTTTTCATAATAAAATGATGTGCTAACACTGCTAACGTCATGAAGTTTGTTGCAAGGTTGTATCAATTTGGACAGGTACCAGGGTTCAATAAAATCGGATTTTTTTCAATAAAATTAAATTCAATGTTCACTTTACGGTCACGATTTTTTTGGGCCATTTTACTTTTTCACTTATCTGAAATTAAAATTCAAAAGTAGAAGACATTGGTTTAAGTTTATTTAGTCATTACAATATAATTCAGCTTTTTCGAAAAATTATAAAATTCCATTTTGCGAATTTTATTTTTGTGGTAACGCCTAAAGTTATAATAAACATCTTTGAAATTTTGCAAATGTTTTAAGGCTATAAAGAGCATAAAAAATTTTTAGTCAAAATATATTTGCTTATCCCCTCCAAAAAATTGATGACGTCAGCTCAAAAGTTTGCCGAATAATCCTATCTAAAATGTGCAAAATATGATGAGTCTCTTCTTGTAATTTATCATTCCAGTCATATTTTTTGGATTTGGATTTACAGGGTGACTCAAAAAATTTAATGAATGCGCAAATTTATTTTATTGATTTAATCAAGAACTACACAAAACCGAATGCTTTGAAATCTAATGCAAAAAAAAACATCATAGGCATGCAGTCGTCACGTTTACGACAGCGAGAGAAGTACTGTCTAAACTCTTCAGACCAATTTTTTTGTATTGTTTTTCAAAAACGCATTTATAGCAAAATACAATGATGGACTAACATGTCGTAGATGTAAAAGCATATTGTTTTGTACATTCTGAATAGGAAACACTCTTGAAATCATTAATTTTGTTGATAATATTTGATAGTGTAAGTTAATCGCTTTTCTTAAGAAAAATACAGTTTCAGCTTCAAAATACACCATCCCGAATGGTGAACAAAGTGGTCCTTATGCCGATCGAGAGCTAAGTGAGGATGATTGTTATCATATACCCACCGAGGACAGCAGGAGTAGCAGCGACGAGATTTCTGAAAGCACACCCTTGACAACAGTACCATTAAGACTTCAATTAAAACCTAGAAAACAAGGAAAGAAAGAATTCCTAAAAGATGTAAAAAGGTAAAATAAAATTTTAAAAATATGTAATCACATATTGCAATACTTTATAAAATGTTTATAAAAAACACGTAGTACAAATATATTTTGTAATTTCAGATGCGTAAATACCACCCCAAAGTCCAAAGTTTGTCAAGAAAAAGATTCGGAATGGAAAGAAGATTATTGACGTTTCGTCGACAAGAAGATGATCGAATGTATAGGATAACTGTTAGGACTTCAGATATACGGGAAACACACAATTTCGTAACTTGCCCTAACTGGAAGTACTTAATAGTCAAGCTGACGATTTGGAGAAATTTCGTGTAAAATCTTTAGAACTATAACGGTATACTCAATCGGAGGATTATGATTTAAAAGATGTTACAGATAGAGAATTTTGACGAAGACATATTAGCGAAAGAATCATTATGTAAGTATTGACTCAGAAGTTTAAGATCTAACTGATGATTTAAACATTTAGATAGCATGTAAGGCTATAATTTTTTTTATTTTTTATGGTTGGGTTTTTTAAATTTTTTATTTAACGTTATTGAAATTGTATTGTATCATGTAGGTACTGTTTTCATAACTTTATTTCGTTATCGGCTCGCTGCAGGTTTCATTGGTTTAGTAACTTTAAAAATTTTTAATGTCATGTTTAAGAAATTAACGAATTAGGTCTACATTAATAATCAAACGATGTTATTATTTAGTGTGTCTTGATATTTCAAATAGTTAGGTAGTTAACAGCGCAAAAAATGAGTCTCTTTAACATATTTCTTATATTATATGAAGCAGTGATTTTGAATTAGGGCTTTTTAAATCTGCAGTTTGAAAAATTTTTTTCGAACAAATTTTTTACACCAAGTTAAAACAGATTTTACAATTTCTGATATTTCCTATTCGTAAATTTGTATTTGCATTAAAGAATATGCTTTTGATTTATATCTTTCAACGTGTTCATGTTTTTTCACTTGGTGCTGAGAAATCTGTACAACATGGTGAATGCTTAAATTTTTTGCGACATAGTTGTCATAGTAAAAATTTTACGTGTCATTGTAATTTACTAAAAGTAATAGGGTAATAGGTAACAATAAATCTACGCAGTCAACGATACAAAAAAGTGTCTACATAATACGAGATGTTATTGTTATTGTTTCTAATAGAATCTTATTATTTAGCGGAGAAATCACCACTTCTTGATGTGGTAGTCACAGGATCAAAGAAAACGGTACAAAAAAACAAGCATACAGAACACCAACAAAACAAGTAATGACAAGAAATTAAGTAAAGAAACTGAGTCTATTACAATGCTGATACTAGAACATTCCCAAATAGAAACACCACATAAAAAGTCAAGAAATTCTCGAGGAAAACCAAGAATTCCGACAACGAAACAACTTGAAGCCATAGTTTCTAATCCATCTAAAAGGCAAAAATTAACGTAAGAAACTACTCTATTGCAAACAGTTTTTAAAACTTGATAGAAAACAAAAAAATATCCACTTTAAATTTCTGTATAACGAAAGTACTTCCTGTAAACAAGAATGTTTTTCAAACTGCTAGTTAAACGAGGTCACTGAAGAGTATGGTTAACTTCAATTCATTTACCTTTTCTTTTGGAATTCCTGGGTATGTTTTTTATTTTGTACCTTGATTATATATATTTTTAATATTCTTCAGTCGAGAACGTTTTTCAAACTGTTTTTAAAACAAAATCGCCGTTTAATTGGATTCAATATCAAATTAAGGCTAGCTGCTAGGTCTTTTACATGTGATTTTCAGTACATATTCAGAAGGTAATATTTCCAGTATTAATGGACGTATGGTCGTAAAATTTTAAATATAACATCTCCACAACTTTCTCTACATAGCACAAGGTCAGTTTTGTTAAAAACAATTTAATCATCACCTTTTTTTTTAATGAAATTTTTGCATTAACGTATCTTTCAAAATTAATATCTCAATTATGTATGGAAATTGCAGAACACTGTTTCAGTTGATAAAACTCCATCGTACCAAATACGTTGGAAATGGGACAGTCAAAGTTGTCTAGTAAAAGCTTTTAGATGCTTCTTTTTCTGTATCTCAGTTCCAACAAAAAAAGTGGACGATATGTCTGGTACGATTTTTGAAGTTTGGTGAGATAAAAACGGTGGAAACCGCGTTCCAAAATTTCGATATATAATTCAGATATTGATTTTTTAAAACACGTGAAAGTTTCAACAAAATTTAAAAAATATGAGATAATAAACTATTTAAATCATTTCAAACTACCGGGTGGGAAAAATTACACATCGTTTCGGGTGTAATTTTAAGGTCATGGGGTCCTCTTGGACCCCATGGCCTTATTTAGCCAAAATTAAGGAATTAATCAAAAATTTTTGGCGAATCCAAATTATTTATTAATTTTAAACACAACCAAGTTAAAAAAATTACATAACAATATTAAATAAGCATTTTTCGTTACAGTTTTTTGTTCCAGCATTCCTGACATTCAACAGTACGAGTAGAATGTACTCGGCAAACAAATCTTTTGTAGGAAATGCAAAAATTTCTTGATTTCTGTCCCTGTTACTTATATAGACGAAACAGCGTCCGCGGGATTGTACTGATATCGATTTTGATAAGGTGCCATTTATAAAACAAAATTTAATTTTTTAGAGAGATTAAATTGTCACACTGACACCGATACTGACGCTTGCAAGTCTGTATCAAAACAGCAACGCCATCTATAAACTAGTAAAGAATAAAACAATGGTTTTTGAAAGACTAAATTCTCAGAATAAAACCTGCAGGTGCAATAAAATCTCAAAAATATAGACAAAAAAATGGCAACAAAAAGAATCAGGTGGGGTCCATGCGGACCCCAAGAGACTAATTTTTTTTTTGTAACAGACTGTTACACCTATACAATTGATATTTTTTGAATGCATAGCAAAAGGCCTTAATTGAAGCTACTAAAAATACCACTATCGTTAAACCAGAAAATAACGGGAAAAATAGGAAATTGTATCAATGGGGTCCATTTGGACACCACCCGGTAGTTTGAAGGTTAAAAAAATTCTCGTATTATGTAGCGAAACTTGTGGACAGGTTACATTTAAATTTTCGTAACAGTAAATGTGTTAATAAGGGAGATATTAAATTCTGAATATATATTGACAATATCATAAGAACCAAACGTAGCGATTTCTCATAATTGGAAGTATTTATGTACCTTTAGATTTTTGGAATTCCTAGATATATTTTATTTTCTACATTAATAGTTTTTTTATAATATCTATTGTTCGTACAGTTGAGAAAGTTTTTCAAGCTGTTTGTAAAACTAGGTCATTATATAGTTGCATTTAATATCGAATTAAATGGAAATATTTATTTAGGTACCTTTAGTTTTTTGGAATTAAGTATAAGTATATTTTTTTGTCTTCTACTTTAATTTTTTGTAATAATCTTCAGTTGAGAATATTGTGCAATTGAATTCAGTAGAGATAAATATGTATGTATGTATGTAGTGTTAGTTTTTTTGGAATTTTGTCATTTACCTTAATAATTTTCTTAATATTCTTTAGTTGTAGGCCTGGTTCACAAAAATTGTAGTTATATAGTAAACACAAAAAAATAAAATGTTACTGACAGTGTTTGCTTTTTATTGCAGTATCAAACATTGAAAATTGTAAATTTTCCCGAGTTAAATATTTGATATGGAGCTTATATTATAGTTACAAAATGGCATAGTGTCAAACTGTGTGTATTGTGAGCTGCATAAGTTTGTTCGGTTCTTTTTAAAATTGAGGATAGGGTACATTTATAAAGGCAACTTTTATTATAATATTTAAGTTATTTATTAACAGTCAGGTACTTCTATGAAAACTAATTCTTTCAACGAAGTTAAAAGTTCGTTTAATTTGAAAGACAGTTCAACGCAGCCATGAAACTAGCCGTAAGATGTGTATAATTTAGTTAAAATTGTAACTGAACATTTTTGTGGCAAATGAAATTATTCAATCCAAACTGAAGAGAAATGGGTTTTATTAAGGACAAAAAGTTGTAGTTGTTCAACGTTTGGTAGTAAAATATTAACAACAATTTTAGAACAGTCCTTTCAAAAACATATTAAAGATTTACGAAGATAGAGTAAATAAAAAGTTTCAGTGTGTGCTCTTATTTATCTATTTAATTTTAAATAGAGTTGTTAAATATTGAAAAATACTTAAATCTATAGGTGATTTTCCTTTAAATTATGTTTAAAAGATATGGCTGTACACATTGTAGTCGCTGTTTTCAATCTTCTTTAAGGTTCTCCGAAAATTTACTCGAATGTTGTCAGTGTTCGCAACTGTATTAATTTATTTAACTTTAAATGCGGTTTGTTAAAAGCTTCACAACTCTCTTTATATATAATATTAGATACAGTTTGTTAAATATTAAAATTACGCAAATCTGTGAAGTGAATGTTTTTTAACGTGAGTTTAAAAGATATAGCTGTGTAAAATTGGTTGCATAAAATATTAGCAGAAGTTCAAACCGTTGATAATACAGAGAGCAAACCAGTATGTCCACCTATGGGCACATAAGAGAAATGCAAACTCTAAAATCTTGCGAGAGCACACACCCGCAAGGGGTGAAGGGGGAACAAGGAGCATGCTCTTGTAAAGTAACCTACATCATTAATATTATTATTATTCTTATTTAATCCTTATTATATAAAGACGTTCGTATTTTCACATTTTCGAGAAAATGGGGTAACTGGTTCTTAAATTGTTCAATAAAAAATTAGAGATAATAATTTATTTTATCTAATGAAAAAGTATATTGTGCGCCCAGTACGAAACCTGCTATATCAGCGTCACGGTCTACCTTCATACAGAATAAGGCGGTTTAAACAATAAAAATATAGTAATAATAAACAAAATCAAGATATATTCGTAAATCACAAGTACAGGAGTATATTATTTCATATACAATCAGTATTGTTAATGTGCCATATAACGAGCGGATGTCATCAATTTGTTACTGAAGATGATTATCCTAATTTTGGTTAGCTTTTTACCATCTATTCCTAATACACATATATATAAAATTTGACAACAATCAGTCCAATAGTTTCGGAGATTAACTGTCTCATAAAAATCCGGACAGACAGACAGACAAACAGACGAGAGACATATTTCTTCGTACTCTAGGGGTCGTGAAAGGTCTAGAAAACGTAAAAGTAGACACTCGAACGACGGACTCGATTAAAATACTTCGTTCGACCGTTTGACTCTGTCTGCTTTAAGTGAATTTTGGTATAAATTTATTTCATTCCACTCTGTGCGAGATCAGTATTTATAATTGACCGAACGAACAGCAAATGGTAATGGTTGTCTTATTGTTGAAATTTTGAATACACAACTAACAAATGTAACAAAGTTTTATTTTTTGGAGCTCATTGACCAGTTGACTCCATGGACGAACCGCCACTGTTTCCAACATCACTAATTAATGTTAAAAAAATCCACCGTCGCTTCTTAAAGTTTTACCGTTCAAGATTCTTGGCGGTTATCCCTTACGCGGTTTTTTGTATAATATACTGTTTGTTTTATAATTGAACTGAAAAAGTGATTTTGGTGAACGTTTTAGAGACGAAGAAAGTTATATCTAAATACATTTAGACCAATTTCTAAGTTACAAATACTACTCTTTTTACTTGCCGATCGTAAGCTAAACAAGTAAAAATCGAGTCCATCGGACGAATGGTCACTTTTATGTATTTCATGACCCGTACAGTATGAAAACAGTAGTCTCCCGTTTCCGTCTATCTGTCTGTCTATCTGTTAAAATTTGGCTGATCATCCCCACCAACAATTTTATAACGTCTTTTCAATGAATTGTATTTTAAAATTATTTGAATGTTACACAAAAATATACTCCTATACTTGCAGTGTACGAATCCGCCTTCAATTTTTTCGCTGAAGGTACAAATTTTCCCAAAAACATTTGCACGGTATAGTAACATTACATTAGCAACATCGGATACAAACCTTCTTGGCGCAAGGATTTCTATAGAAACTGGGACCTACTGGTCGTGGGTTCGATGCCGAACTTGATCCTTTTTTTTTTCAATTCCCAAGTGTAACCTCGAGTCCATCGGGCGAATTGCCACTTTTTTTCTTGCATTGGTAATGCGCTGTGACTACTTTTGTTTTGTACTATGACTGGTATTATCCATATTGATGACGTCATCACAAATTTTTTATTGGTCAAATTAAAAACAAGTCGCCTCAGTTTTTCCAAAATGTGAGAATACGCGCGTCTTCATTATAATAATGATAAAATAAGAATTATAATATTCCGAACTTTTTGTTCGTTTGTGGTAATAATTTTAATTCTCTGAATTTTGAACGAAGAGGATTTTATTAAAGGACTGATCTCCAATTAAAAATATCATTCCAATACACCATTTGTAAAACAATGACGATAAAAAGGACTTCCACTTTTCACTATCTCTTAGTGACATCACTGTTGATAGGTGATTGTAAATCTGCGAAAGAATAATTTTCATAATCAGAATATCGCACTCGACATGTTTATTTTTACCTACTCATATCAGTGTTTGATGAGTAAAATCAGTTTAAGTATGTTTCATGCCGATTATGACTATAACAATGCGAAAACATTTTCAAGAATTTTACCTGCGTATATTATATCTAGTTCCCCATCTTTTTATCTCCGCACTTCAAATAGTTATCTTCAGAATAATCTAGTTTTTATGTAACTTCCCTTTTTTCCGATAGGTGTGATGTAATGAAGAAAATGATCTAATTTCTGGTTCTATCTATCTTATTAGAGAAAGAGAAAATCATAACAATAAATAACATTAGCCAAAGGTGAAAACTGTTTTCAATCATACCGTATCAGTAAGTAGAATCTGTTGCATAGGTATATATATATTCTAAAATCTAGCTGAAATTTACACAGTAGCTGTGACGTTTTGCAGTTACAAGTTATGTCTTTTATACCTTCGAACATGTTTCTAAGAACAACATGTTGTGTAATATTGCAAGCATTTCAAAAGATAAATGTAATTATTATTAGCGTCCGTGTTGACAAAAGTACAGTAATATAAATTACTTAATTAATCGTCACTGTTTTAAGTTCAATGTGATAAGAATATTTTTTTATTTTTTTATCAAGATTACTTCTGTTATTAACTACCGCTATAATAAAGTTTGCAGTTTAATATGAGTTGAATTTTCTTAAGAAATTAAATAAAGAATGAGCCATTTTTTCATACTGTAGGGGTCATGAAACGTCGAGAAAACATAAAAGTGGCCATTTGTCCGATGAACTCGATTACTATACCTCCTTAGCGTATGCTCGAAAAGTAAAATATAGAATTTTGTGAAATGTAATTAAAACTACTTTTTGATAATTTTGTAGAACATAAACATTATTAATATCTAGGTTTTATTAGTTTACATTTTATACTATAATGCATACTAGAACAGATAACGATGAAGATAAGAAAAACAAAAAAATAGACGAAAAAAGTATGTTTACAATCCATTGTTAACAGCTTTAAAAATTAAATAAATAATGAGCCCTTTAAGTAAAATCATATCATAGAGTAAAAGTAAGGTTGAACCTAACTGAGTGCAATGTTCTTTAACACTCAGGAGATCGTAACAGTAGCATTTAAATATATATGCACATTAAGAAATCGGAACATTTATCATATATTTTCCACATTAAGTCCTGTTATTCATATTTAGAAAATGAGATAGAAAATCAATTGGTAAAGGAAATACAATCGTTGAGTTCTTCTCGCCTGCTATATTATTCAACGTCTGCAGATATCGCAGCTAAAAAATACATATTTGTTAAAATTTTCTGTAGCTATTGTTCTCAATAAATAAGCAAAAATACCTGAATCGCTGACGGTGACTCACTGATAACATCAGCAGCTTCTTTAAGCGCTCTAGAAGCTTTCATTTCACCTTCAGCTGCCACAACCTTAGCTCTAGCTTCACGTGCGGCTTCAGCTTCAGCTGCCATAGCTCTCTGCAACTGCAAAGGTAACCTCACATCTTTTCTAAAATCAAAAATGTTATCAACAAACCCTTACATCATTCAAAAAATTTATACATTTCAACCCTTTCGACCTTCACTCCCCAAGGATCTGTAGCTGCATCTAGACTGGTCTGCATTATATGAGATATAGTTTCACGATCTGCTAAAATATCTGATAAGTTTCGTGTTCCCAATATGTTTCGAAGAGTTGTCATCGCAAGAAGTCTTGTCGAATTACTGTAAAACAAATATTTTTGAGGTAAGTAGATTATGTACCTACACATTTATTCACCTGTAGTTTTCTACTTGAGTCACTGAAAGCAGCGGATCTTGAATTTTGTAGTATACCACAGCGTCCACGCTCACTGTGACCGAGTCTTTGGTGAGAGCCTAAAAATTAAACATGCAAAATGCAGATGATTACGTTAAAAATTACCTCTTGGGGTGGAACATCGAAGGACACTGTTCTTAGATCCACTTTCATGTAGGTATCAACACATGGTAAAATAAAAAATACACCGGGTCCTCTAGGACCTCCAGATCTTAATCTTCCCAAACGAAAGATGACGGCTCTTTCATATTCTTTGACGACCTTAAAGTATAATGGTTTATTTATTCGTTTATCGGTTATGCAGTGTCTTACTTTGAAGCACCAAAATACTGAAAAGGGGAAAGTAAGAATTAATATAATTGAAGATCCCAAAACGGCAAGAACATCAACAGAACCCATGTTTCTGAACTTAAATGTTTTTATCTGACGGAATTAAGGTGGTTTTAGTTATTTATCACACGTACTGACGCCACTGATAAAAGCGAATACGACGATTATACCTTATCAGTACAGTAAAACATAAACACATAAAAATTTTAGAAATGATTGGAATTAGTCTGAACGTGTCTGTTCTGCACCGTCACTTTCCATATTCATTTATTCTCAGCCGTTCAGCTTTAAAAAATTGTTAGTATTTGTCTATAAATGGTGCCATTACCTTAATGGCAATAAGATAATTGTATTTACCAATTAGGTTAAAAGTTATAATAAGCTTTCTTTTACTACGACATATGTATATCCAGTAAATATCTACTAAATACGTATGTCTCTTACCACTTTATCTCGTATGAAAAATTTCGTATGAAACAATGCATTACAGTAGAGCCTACTAGGATGAAGTGATGCAATGATCCACAGATTAAAAGTGTCTAGTTGTATTTTTACTTCCCGAGCGTAAACTAACGAAATATTATATTCGAGTCCATCGGGCAATTAGCTACTTTCATATTTTCTCGATGTGTCATGAACTCTAGAGCATGAAAAAAATAGATCTTCTGTTTCCGTCTGTCCGTCTGTCAGTCAAAATTGTATAGCAACATTTTGCAATTTAATTTTGAATCTACACTACCAAATGCTTTGAAATCTTGCAGACGTTTTATAGTTACCGTAAGCATGATAAATTTTTAATCAAAATATCCCAAAAATTGATGACGTTTCTCAAAATTTTTCCGATTTAATCATATGGAAAATGTACAAAACATAATGACAATTTATTTTAATGTTAAAATCAGGAATGGGTCACCCCATTTTGCTGAAAATTTGGAAATATAATACTATTATCAGTATTACACTGCACCTATGCAAATTAATATATTATGTGTTCTTGCAAAAGTGTTGATGACGTCATAAAAAAATTTGTAAAAGAAAAACTCATTTGAAACATGCGCCTAGAACGTTTTTTACATTTACTTTAATTTTAATACATACCTTTATTTTAACTGATAGGAGTTCTCAGAGAAAAATAAGATTCTCAAAATCAAATTATACAGTTTTTCGAGAAAGGTGGATATATTTTATTATACTTCAAAAGCGAGGGAAGTTCTATCGAAATAACCTTCGGCCAATTTTTTACTTACTTGTAATCTAAAAGCTAACGACAGGATTTATATTTATGTATTTCAGTACTCATGAAAATCATTGAATGAAATATTCTATACCTACAGAATAAGGAATGCTCATGCATACCGAGCGGAATCATAAATCAAATTAAAAAAAAATGTAATTCTGACGTGGGTTAGGTGATGGATAGATTTTATTATTCACTTTTTCTTCGCAACAAAATAATATTCATCCTTAAATGAGAGATCTGTTAGTTTGTATGCATTGTAACCTTCTTTTTACCGCCTTTTGGAATTAGGGGTTGCTTATTCCGAAGCCGTACGACAGATACTATCGTACGGTTTCGCTTATTCCGTCTGATATCAGTTGCTAGAATGGGCGTTCTTTATTCAGTGACGAGACTTCATCCACTCATTTTCATGAGGACTGAAATATATTAAGTAAATTGATCACTATCTCTTACACTATATAGTGTTTTTAACAAGGTTTTAAAAACAGCACTGACATATTGTTTCAATTTACTTGAAATATAAACACTCTTCAACCGCTGGAACGTAAAATATAAACACATACCAGGATACCACAAACTTGTAGAAAATAAAACTGTAACCGCTAGTACTTACAAAATCCCATTTTTAGTCATCAAAATTCAGTTTTAAAAAAAAGGGGCCCTTCCGTTTAGTAGTGAAATCTAACAAACTTCAAACTTTCCGTCTTAATTTCAACCAAAAAAGATTACGCACTCAATTTCACGAATAAAATTTTGATTCTCTACATTATTTATTATTTATTCGATATTAACGATAAGTACCTACATACATATTTATTAATCGCAACCTAAAAAAAATTTTTTTTGTTTTTTGTTTGCATATTTACTTCTCTTAACGTAAGCTCGGAAGAATTTCATGTTGTCTCGATGTTTCATGACCCTAGAGTACGAAAAGTAGGTCTCTCGTTTCCGTCTGTCTGTCGTATGCTTCTCGTCTGAGTCTTTTTTATTGGGCAGCTAATCTTCGAAACTACCAGACCGATTTTTTTCAAATTTTATCTGTATGTTAGGAATAACCTGAAGATGGTAAAAAGCTAAGCAAAGTTTACAGTAGTAAATGTTTAAATTTTGTAGAATTCATACTCCTGCACTTGTGATTTATGAATCCATGTTGAGTTTACACCCTGGACATCCACATTTTTGGGAAAAAAATTAGAATTGTATAACATTTTGCAATGCAACCTTGAAACTATTAAAGTGAAAGTTCTGAAATCTAGCAACCATTGGAGATGATCGTAAAATGTTGCCGAATAAATCCTATCTAAATTATAAGAATATTTTTGTAGAATTATATATACAATCTATTTTATTAATCAAATCAAGAACGGCTAACCCTGTTTTCTCGAAAATTTGAGCTTACAGTACTGTTATTATTGGTATGACACTGCACCTATTCGAATTGATATACGAGCCTGTGATAAAGTGTTATTGCACCATCACAATTTTTCTTAATACAGCAAAAGATGTACATACAGCGTTGTAACTTTCAGGCGAAGAATTTTCTTTTTTACTTCCCAAGCGCAAATCAAGCAAGTTTAATAATAGAGTCCATTGGACGACTTGTCAGTTTTATGTTTCCTCGACGTTAAAAAAGTGATTTCTCATTTCCGTTTGTCTGTCTGTCTGACGTCTATATCCATTTTTATTAGACACGTAATCCCCGAAACTAGTGGGCCATTAATCATCCCCACCAACAATTACATGTCATCTCAGTGAATTCTACTTTAAAATGATTTAAATGTTATTATACAACAATATACTCCTATATGTACTTGTGACGTGAGCTGGGAATGCAATATTTTCTTCTTTTGAATTTCCTTATGTCTCGCGGTTTCTTTTTCTCTAAATTTATTTCGAAATAACCAGGCTCAAATGCATAAGGAAAGACGCCTTCAGTTTTAAGAATTTATACAAACGTTTGTCGAAAAATAGGCAGTAACGCCGGCTTTGTTGCAGCGCCTATAAATCAATGGCCTATATAATGCAGCGTAGCATAGCAGCCAGTCCGGTGTGTAACAGCGTGTGACGTCACGCGATATTTTAAAATCGGTGTTCGTCCAGTATTTAGGATGCTACATTTTGTGACTAAAAACGAAAAACCGATTTTTTAACTTTAGTGTGCCTTTAATGAATTGAGAAAGACAAGCTCCACAAAAATCTGAAAAAAACATCTATAGAGTATCATTGAAAAAAAATTCGATGTCGTATCTGTTATATTTATTTTAATGTACTTATAGAGGTTAACATAAATAAGTAAATATTTAGAAAATCAGTTTTTTTTATTTTTCAAAGAAACGGGAATAATGGAATTTGTTGGGCTGTATTTCAAAGACGAGGGGAGTCCCGTTGAATTATTTCGACAGGACTTTCCTCGCCTGAAATACAGCTTTTCGACCAATTTTTTATTTCTGAAAAACAAATTACAACCGACTTCAGCCTCGATATACTTCTCCCTATTTCCTGCTGTACATCGACGTACGAGTATATAACTAATCCAGGAGTGATAACTTTTTTGTAACGGACGAGCATTTAATGACTAGACAATTCAAGCTTACCCAATCAATTATAGACATTTGCAAGAATGTTGTTGTGTAACAACCCAGTCTTAAAAAGGTCCATTAACATAATCTCTAATATCAAATGGAGACGATGGGTAACCATGGCCGCTTATGGTATAATAAGGATATATTTCCGAATCAGTAGTCATATCATTGTGTCAAAGACTTAGTAGTCTCACGCTCCTATGTGTTACCTTACTTAAACAAATAGATTTAGAGCGTGTGGAACTCTGCCAATCTGTGGGGTAGCATCCTAATTTACAAAATCCATGCTCCGATGGGACTACTAGAGTGGTTTTACTAACAGATACTGTAGCTGCAGCAAAAGTAAGAAAACACATTTAGCTTAACTAAGATATGTTTATATTTTATTTGTATTGAATATTTTTGTAGAAATAACTACACCTTTAAAAGTACAAAAAAAGTTACATGTACAAGTTATTTAAGAAAAATGATATCAAACACTAAAAAAGATCGAAATGAACTAACTCTAAATACATATGTTAGATAAGCCGTAATGCTTAAATGCAATTTTCCACTAATAAAAGGCATTTTTCTTGAGATGAATTAATAATTTCTGTTACCAAAACTTAAAAACTGTGACAGAAGATCTATTGGTAAGGGGAATATGATAGTTGAATTTTTCTCTCCTGCTATATTATTTAACGTCTGGAGGTACCGCAACTGGAAGAAATATATAACATTTTTAATTATCCACAATTCCCATTTACAACAAAAATACCTGCAAGGCTGATGGGGACTCACTAATAACATCAGCAGCTTCTTTTAACGCTCTAGAAGCTTTCATCTCACCTTCAGCTGCTATGACCTTAGCTCTAGCTTCACGAGAGGCTTCACCTTCAGCCGCCATAGCCCTCTGCAATTCCACCGGCAACCTCACATCCTTTCTAAAATAAAAAAAATCATCAACAAACCCTCACATCGTCTAGAGCATTTTTACATTTCAACCCTCTCTACCTTTACTCCCCAGGGACCCGTAGCTGCATCTAGGCTAGTTTGCATAACATGAGATATAGTTTCACGATCTGATAAAACATCTGATAAGTTTCGTGTTCCCAAAATGTTTCGAAGAGTTGTCATTGCAAGAAGTTTTGTGGATTTGCTGCAAATGCAAACATTTTTGCCAGAAGTAAATCCTGTGAAAATGTATTTACCTGTAATTTTCTACTTGGACCACAGAAAGTAGCGGATCTTGAATTTTGTAATAAATCACAGCGTCTACTTTTACTGTGACGGAGTCTTTGGTAAGAATCTAAATATTAAAAATACACTGGACAGGCAATTTCTGTTAAAATGTAATTACCTCTTGTGGTGGAACATCGAAGGAAATTGTTCTTAGATCGACTTTGATATAAGTATCGACACATGGTAGGATGAAAAATATACCGGGTCCTCTAGTACCTCCAGATCTTAATCTTCCCAAACGGAAAATAACGGCTCTTTGAAATTCTTTGACGACCTTAAAGTCTAACTGGTTATTTGTTCGTTTATTGGTTATGTAGTGTCTTACTTTGAAACACCAAAAAATTGAGAAGGGGAAGGTAAGAACTAAGAGAATCGAAGATCCCAGAACTGCAAGAAACTCCACGCAACCCATGTTTTGTCAACTTAAATGCGGTTAATCTGGGAGAGTTCATCTCATTTTAGATATTTATCGCATGTAGAATAGTGATAGTAATAGTAAAAAGATACATATATATATACGGCAATTTTTTTAATTAGTTTAAATCTGCAAATCCTCTTCCCGTATTCATTAATTTATTTTATTTATGACTATATGCAGTCTTTCAACAAATAATTTTTTTTCTGACATCTGCGTTTTACATGTGCTATATATCTAGCCGTTATTTTTGTTTGGATGCAACATTTTTTGCCTTCCGAATTTTACCATCAGAACAGCTTACATTAGCTTACTGTACAGAGAGAAAGAAAATCCGAAATAATGATGACGCGAATAATAAGAATGTTAATTAACCTTTGAGCAAAAACTTAAAACATTGTTAAATAAAAATAAAATTTGTAAGCATGGTTTTTTATCTACTTTGTCTTTCCTTTTTCATTTTGTACAAAATTATTCGTAATACATGAGTGCAATAAAAGCAAGGGCATTATCTGAGTTGTGGAAACGCACGAGTACGTATATTAATTATTTTTCTCATATAAATTACAAAATTTAATCTGCAACCGCCAAATATGTTAAAAAAATAAACATATATAGGAGTAGATATTAACTTAGACGTGTACAGTATAAAACAACTTGATACATTTCGTTAAATGAGTCTTTAAAATACAAATTAAAAAGTTGTGTTGGGACACCTGTATATTTTAAACACCAGTTTTCTTTGTATTGTGTTTTTTGCAAATCGAAGATTTTTAGCAAGGTTTTAATAACAACACTTACTTAATAACATCAGTCTGCTTGAAAGATACACACACATAACAGCTGGCACGCAAAAGAGTCACACATTTATATGTTCCAGGAAAATATATTACGCGCTTTTGTTTCGTCCTTCAACTTTAAGATGGCTCAACTACTTCAAAAGCATTTGAAATCGGGATAGTGTTAGTATGAGATATTGCGAACAGAGGGTAGGTACAGCACTTTCTTCACAGCAAATGTCAAATGTGAATTTATTTCAAGGTTATTTTATAGTAACTAATAAAGAGCGATGTGGTGAGTTTTAAAGACTGTGTAAATCAGTACATGCGTGCACATGAACAGTGCGGTAGGGTATCGATCAATTGGTTGTGTTTTTCAGGTGTAATAAACACCTATATTTAGGCGGCAAATACCCATTGCACATGTCGAAAATTTCGAGCGAACACTTGTCATGTATAAAACGCTCGACCTTGATCAGAGTTCGAACAAAGTTTAGACATTTAGATATTTATTATTACAGAAATCACCTATTTACATTGATATTTTAATAACATAGAAATTAAAAATAAGCACAAAAACTAAAAGAACTAATATTCAATTTATACATAAAGTGATGAACCTAACTAAATTTTACCTATAACAGACAAGAACCATAAAGATTTTGAAGACCCAAATAAATTAAATGAATTAGACGAAGCAAACTTATTTCCTAATTCCATAAATCTCGTAATTGCATGATTTAAAGATAAATTAGTTTTCGATAAAGGCACCCTAAAAATTTTAAAACTACGAGTGCTACTTACATCAGAATGAGGAACATAAAAAGATAATTTTGACAATAAACATGGTGAGTTTATATAAGAATTAACAAGCCCGTGGAGTACACACCCATCTGCTAAAGTCCTCCTCTAATCTATTCTAATGATACTTAAATTAATGCAACGAAGAAATTTTTTCTGAACTCTCTCCAGCAAATCAATGTCTACATCGAAGTATGGATGCCAAAGTGGCGAACAATACTCCAATTGAGATCTGACTAAAGAACAAAAAAGGGTTCTTAAAGAGGAAGTCCTCATAGCTTTCTTGAATATATGTATAATTGTAGTGACTCTTAAATGTTAGTTTCGAATCGAAAATTACACTAAGATCTTTTATCTCATTTACAACTTTTAAGGGAACATTTTCTAAACTGTATGTGTATATAAATGGATTTTTCAAGTTACAAAATGACGTAGCGTAGCATTTGTGAGTATTCAAAAAAAGCTGGTTATTCAGACACCATTTACGAAGTTCAGCCAAGTCGGAATGTAAGGCCAATGCATCTTCTAAAGAACGTATTTGTTTGAAAATTTTAAGGTCATCCGCAAACATTAAGAAATTAGAATATTTAATACAATCTTCTAAATCATTAATGAAAAGCAAGAAAAGAATTAGTCCGCAGTACGACCCTTGCGGAACTCCAGATGTGACGCCAAAAGTTTGAGATATAAAATTTCCAGTCTTAACTTGTTGATATCTGTCCGAAAGAAAGGAATGCAACCACTTGATAGTGTCTGATCTAAATCCGAGATGCATCAGTTTTGAGATCAAAACACTGATTGACTCTATCAAAGGCCTTAGCAAAGTCCGTGTATATCGAATTAACCGGTATCTTTTCCTGAAAGGATTCGCTAATAAAAGAATAGTAAATCAGCAAATTAAATAGGGAGGATTTGCCTTTAGTAAAACCGTGTTGTTAAGTACAAAGAATCGAAGAAGACATCCATTGTAGTTGTACGGAGACTATTTCATGCAGGATCTTTGGGATTACCGACTGATTACAGACTCCCCTGTAATTTTCCACTTTAGTTTTAACACCAGATTTGAAAATTGGAGTTACATAGCTATGTTTCCACAAATCTGGAAACTTAGATTCACAAATAGATGATTCGAACAACAAAAATAATGGTAGTTAAAATGTAAATACAGTTTTTCAAAACTATACTAGGATTCCATCCGGACCTGGCGAGCAAGTTGTTTTAAGATTACTGATGGCTTGAAACGTCGGAAATAGTAAATTTTAAGCCATTGTCAAGGACATTTACACTATTCTGCTCAACACAATCGAAGTTAACAGTAGAACTGTTTACGTAAACCGAAGAAAAATATTCTGCAAAAAGGTTTGAATTATCAAATTCATTGTCAGCTGATTTATTCCCAAAAGACATATAATTAGGTATTCCACAGTCTTTGTTATTATCCCGGATAAATTTCCAAAAATACTTTGGGTCACATGCCATACTAGCATCTACCTTAGTATTGTAAGAATCAAAAAGGCTTTGATTAAGATCTTTAGTATTCAATCTTAGTGTCTTAAAATAAAGATAATCTTCAAGTTTACTAGACTTCTTATACTTGGAATGGGCTAACTTCTTTTGTTGAGACAGATTTCTAAGGTCGTTGTTAAACCATCTAGGATAATGTTTATTGATTTTATTGGTTTTCTTTGGAACACAATGATCAAGGGCATCAAAAAGAATGTCGTAAAAAAGAGAAACTTTTTCGTCCAAAATCAATTCATTAAAGCATGTTGCCCAATCAACAGATGCCAAGAAATTATTTAAAGAACAATAATCACCATTACTAAAGTCGAACACAACTGAAAAGGTAAAAAGCTTTCAGAATCATATGAAAAAGACCAGGCATATCCATTAATTGATGACTACTTATACATATTAGACAAGAGTTCAAGTTGTGTACTCCTATGAATTAAAACTGCCTCGCCGCTCTTTAGTAACTAAGTTTCTGCATTAGCTATAGTTCGTAGACATATCTGTTACAGGACATGTTATGATCTACTATCGGTAATATTCCTCCTCATGTACTTTCGACTCCAATGTGAGTAGGTATTTTGTGACTCCAATTGAACGTGAAGCATTGAGCTATTTTAGTTTATTTTCCCAAAACACGACCTTATCGACGAAATACACTTTTAAAAGTGAGTGCAATAGTTTAATTTTTATCCAGGATGACAACCCACACATTTCGCCAAAATTGTAACATGGAACTCTTTGTTGTGGTTTTTTTTTTGGCGGAATGCGTTCAAATGCAAAGTAGTGAACTTTAAGGTTAGATCAAAATGCAAAGTATGAAGATCACACTGTTTATTTTTCCAATTCTGGGGTGGGAAAACCTGAAAATCAGCTATAAAAACCATCTCCAACTTTCAAAAATGAAATCAAATCTTCCATATCGATACAAATTTGATAGTGAATTCTTGGCCAAAGAGGTCTTATCTGAACAGTATTATACAGGATTATTTTAAATGTTTCTTACCTCGCACGTGGATTAAAACAGTTTAGGTCTATCTATTTACGTGCTTTCCACTTTAGTTTAAGCCACCTACGATGTAAAACACTTTTATAACAACCCTGTACTTTATGATGATATTAAAGTTTATCAGACAATATACCAAATTTTGCACAGATTCTTTGTCTCATTTATCGTTTGGATATCCATTTTTCGCGCAGTTGTTGGTCCCTAAAATTTTGCATCACGTCACTTCGTTACATTTTTTTTTACATTTCGTGTCAACAAGTAACTAGAAGGTTCTTTTTATCGCTGTATACATATATTTTTTTAATAATAAAATAATTTTTTAGAGTAATGTCTTAGGGCATCAAAAAGTTCAGGGCTCCTGGCGATCACTGCGTAGCCGGGCGGGCCAGACCGACGTTGTAATGGCACAATTTACGTTGTAATTTTTAAACTTTTTACGATTTCCTAGAATAATAAATTATGGTTACATATACTACCAATTAGTGTTATTTGCTAAGATTTGGAATATGTATTCACATTTCAATTTTCAATCCGAAATGAAACCTCTCATTCCTACCTACATCTGCACTTTGAGTGATGCTCTAAGCAGGGGTTTTCACACTATCGTCCCCTTAGTTGTGAGTTTGGCGTAGCACAGGTACTGAACGAAATCATTAACGCTAACATAATGAAAGCATTTAATTTTATTGAACACTAACTGTTACTTGTAGCTCCGCTTGCGAACTTTCATCCCCAGTTTTAGCCCCTTAAGGTTGAAATTTCCAAAACCATTTTCTTAGTGGGTGCTTACATTACACATTGATTAAATACATATAGATAGACCCATGCTATTGTTTGGAGCGAACAGGCCAACGGCCGGCGAACAAGAGATGGCGCACCAACAGTCGGCCGTCAAACGCCGGCGAAAAGCTTGGACACCAATCGCGCGCGTAGATAACCCAAATCGCAGCAACAATACATTTAATAAAGCTACCACTCGACAGAGGGCGACGAAAACAATGTGTAAAAATCTCATAGTAACCATTTATATAATTTGCAACGTTGCCAGATGAGCCTAGCACAACTTTGCCGTTATTTCTAGTCGATTAGATTTTATTTCGTTTAAAATTTTCTGGTGAATAAATGGAATTATTATAATGAATAAACAATACAAACAAATTATTACTTGTTATTTTAAATATTTGTTAGTGTTGATGAAAACATAAATGGTAATTAAAGTTATTCTAAATACGGTCCGGTCCGGTAGCTCAAATTTTACAGTACGAGTAATATGTTTCAGGACGAGTAGGTAGCCGAGTCTTTAATTTCGAAACGAGTACTGCGAAAAGAGTTACCGGACGTATGTTGTTATGTATTTTATTTCATACTGTCAACATACTTTTTTATTCGATAATATTATTATTATTTTGAGAAAAAATCCAAATCGAGTCACTTTTTCTGACATCGTTAGCAACCGCTCTTTGGTAAATGTTTTAATTTGTTTATTCGTGCAAATCAGCATCATATGTTTAAACACATAGTACTTATAACACTTTACAGGACTTATTGTTTTGTATAATCCGACTCGATGGACGAATGTTTTGTGCAATCCGTCTCGAAGGACCAATGTTTGTGCAACTCGGCTCGTCCTACCAGTATTTTTTGTAATCTGGTTGATACGACAATGTGATACCGAATTGTACTTTGATATTGCTCCAAGGACCTTTGTTTTCTTGCGTGCGAGATAATAGACAGCGTTCGGTTTCGATGTTTAATACAGGACGGTTACAGAAGTACTAAATTTACATTTGTATTTACAATAACAGGTAAAGCAAAAGAGACCCAAAAGGGTCAGTGGCCGCTTCCGGAAATGGAAGACTTG